CCGTTTGCTATGTCCAGGTGTGGGAGAGGGGACAGAGAAGATGGACAGCTCTGCCGATGCTAAGGGAAGACGCACAACAAAACTTTTCCTACCAATTGCTAAAAGGGATTGCAGTCAGACTTATCGAGCCTTGCTATAACTGCACTCAGGCACACAATGCCCCGTGACTATGTTATATTCGTGTTATACAAGGAAGCAGTTTCCAAGGGAGCAGTGGTTGAGGCTCTTCCAACCCTAATGGGAAGAGGCGTGCGTATAAGTGTTGTAATCAATCTCATAATTGGAGCCTTGGGCACTGGGCTTTTTTTTTTTTTTTTTTAAAGAAAAAAAAAAGGAAAGTGCAAGTGTGGGTATGCCCTCAACTGGTAGATCCAGGGGCCTTGACCCACTACATCCGATTTACGCTTGCGGTCCTCCGTTTTCGACCACGTGCGGCCGTCCGTGACATCCGTAAGGCGTTGATTATTTCGCGCATCGACTGCTAGTGTGGATTGTCATTGTTTTCGTAGATGCAACTGCCCATCGGCCAATATAACTTTTTTAATTTAATTTGTTGGCCACTTTCCGTTGGCGCGAAGCTTCAATAATATGGTTTTTTTAGGGGGGGGGGGTGTTTGAAGCTTCGCGCCTTGCTATTTTGTTTTTGCCTACTTTTAGAAAAACGGGATGTCCGTGGAGAATCATGAATTGTGGTGTGCACTGACAGTTGAACGCGCCGTGGCAGATGGCGTCATAAAAGTAAGGTGTCTCGGTGCAAGCGTGGGTGAATATTGCCCAACTTTAGGGCGTTGTACGTAGGCGCTGTCTGGCCTTCGTCTCCTTTATGGGACACATGGACCCCCTTCGTGCAGGTCGAAGTACACCGTACTTGCGAGACTTTCAAACAAATGAGGAAAGATCCAAATGTGGAAATGGTAGAGGAGTGCAGCCGCTTTCGCAAAGGAAATAACTTCTGTGCGGCCCGCGAAAACGGTCATGGGTGCATGCTAAATCCATGCTGTCCTCTGTACCTCGGGATATCGGGTACCGCCCTCAACGTAATGCACATTTTTTACCAGCTTACTCTTGTGTTTCGTACATCGGGATATGGTTGTTGTCTCCTCTCCATTTCTCTCCGTCTACCGGCTCACTGTAGTTCGTCACTGTGCACCGTCGACTTACTGAACAGGGAAGAGGACACATTGCTTCTCCATGGCCCAGTACACCCAGAACGCAGGCCTGTCTTGTATTGACGACTGGGGGTGGTCCGAATCCCAGAATGACGCCCCGTCTGCTGCAGTTACCGGACCAGCAAGGAGTGGGGGGCCCGTCTGTGGTGCGGAATACGCGAAGGTGACAGAGTGTGTGACCTTTGCACCTCGTTCCCACGTTGTGACAGGCGCTCCTGCTTTGTCGTCGCCAATGACGCCTGTTCACAGGTTCAGAATCGGGCTAGGCGGTGATGATGACCACACTCTTCGGCAACGTCTGAGAATGCGTGCAATGGCCATGGCCGATGGGCTCACCCCGCTCATGGACGAATGGCCTGTGGGTGGCTATGAGACATCTCCGACTCACAATGCAGGAAGCCAGCATGGCAGTCCCGGTCCGTCGAGTGTTAGTTCTCTTAACACTGACACGATGCCGTCCCAACAGTCAGGTGCTCCCACTGCAATGTCGCCGGTTGGGCACGGGAGTCCTCGCGTGTCAACGGAACCATTGTGTGATGGTGGCCTTAGGCAGCAGCTCAGTCCGCATGCCACATCATCTGAGTACGTCCTCAACCGCATCATCCGAGACATAGAGGCTGGTGCTGACCCGACGAAGCATGTGAATGGTGGGCGTGACGGAGGTCAGGTTGTTGCCTCGCAAACAACCCCCTTGCACACACCTCCTCCGTGTGGATCGTCCGGGGGTGCAGCTGCGGGCACTCCGCACCCAGTCACCAGGGACTCCAGGTCGCATCACACACCTCCCCGGTGTCGATCGTCCGGAGGTGTAGCTGCGGGCACCCCATACCCACTCATCGGGGATGGGTGTTCTCACACACCACCCACCGCATTACAAGGCCTGGGAACGTCTACGGGAGGGCCATCTGCGGGCCACCGTCCACGGCCGTGTCCGGGGGAGAAGAATACGGATCGATGGGGGGAGGCCGGAACTGAGTGGTTGTGCCGGTGCAGAAATGAGGTGAAGGCGTTGATGGGGGAAGAGACGGAAGCGTACAGGTGCGCAAGGCTGAAAGCTGGTTTTTGGAAGTATGTGGAAGAGCGCATGCGTACGAAGGGTTACAACCGTGCAGACAACCAGTGCAAGAACAAGTTCAACCAGATCCTTGACTACTATAGAAGATTGAAGGCACACGAGAGATGGTACGGTTTGCCGAGTTACTGGGACATGAATCAGACAAGGCGGAAAAAGTACAACGTCAACTTTGTGCTTCGTCGAAGTTGGTATGACATCATACACCCAATGGAGAAGGACAAGGACTCTATTAACCTCGCCAATTTGATGGATTCAGGGGCGGACGAGGAGCGTCTTGAGGATGGAGAGGGGGCGAATAACGGTGATGGGAAGATGGATGGTGAGGGTGAAGACCCGGCGGCCGGGTCTGGTGGTTCGGCCGGTGGCTCACGGCCGACAGGTTTTGAGCCGATGCTTGGTAAACGAAAAAGAACTGCCAACAATGCACGTGAATCCGGTGTACAGGCTGTGACCGTTGCTATGCGTGCTCACACGACAGCGCTGACACGATCAGACCTCAAGATCGCGAAGATGCGTTGCGAAGCGACACGTGACATTGCTAAGCAGCAGACTGAGGTTCATCGCGAGCTTCTGCAGCAAGACATTGTATCGCGTGAAAGGATAGCTAACATAATGGGGGACAAGGTGGAGAAGGGTTATTTCGTTCTTGTTGATGTCATTCGCAGCTTACGTCCTCGTACAGACAGTCCATCTCGTGATCCGGATAGCAACGAATCTCGATAGTCCATTTGTGCTGCGACTCATATGGGCATTCAATGTATTTATTGATTTTATTGGTTTGTGTTCTATTTGTTGTTTTTTTCATTCTGCTTTTCGAGAGTTTTGTGATAGATCAGCAATGTCACCATCTTCCGCGGTTGTAGCAGACTATCCATACGAGACGCGTGTGTGTATGTGTGTTTTGGGGGTTCATGGTTGACTGTTCGGGTGAAGTCCGGGTGACGTGACACCGGGTGTTCGGGTGAAGTTCGGGTGAAGTTCGGGTGAAGAGTATGGGGTGACTGCTCGGGTCACAACACACCGCGTGTTCACTGACCGCACTGTACTCTCGGGTGACGCATCGGATGACTATTCGGGTGACAACACACCGCATACTGTCATCGATAGACTCCCTCCACGAGTGATTGTTGGGGTCACTTTTCCGGTGACACGACACCGCATTATGTCAGAGAAAGAGAATGCCTTTTCACGGGTGACTGTTTGGCATATATACGGTCCTTCGAACGAGGGAAAAAAACAAAACAATACAATCTGGAGAGACATACAGAGAGAGAGAGAGAGAGAGAGAGAGAGAGAGAGAGAGAGAGAGAGAGAGAGAGAGAGAG